TTTAGTATCTCTCAAATGTGGTTCGTAAATAATGATGATAGTCAAAATCTCAACACTATTGAAGCTTGTTGGATGGTACTATATATTTTATACTTAAACATGTTTCGATATTTCTCCCTGTTATGTCTCTATACATCAATTGTATCTAATTATCTCCCATTTCTCTTAAACTCAAACAATTAGGTGAGTCCAGAACTGTTTGGAGATTATCGCACCAGACTATTCACATATTGGACTGTAAGTTCAAATTCATTTGCAACCTACATTTTTTTTTGTCCAAATCACACAATTATTATTGCAATGCAACAGACTGATTCATATAGAGATACTGGATGCTATAATCTCCTATGCTCTGGCTTTGTTCAACTCAATGCCGGAGTAGCTGTAGGATCCACCATCTGGCCATTATCTTCCTATGGGAATGCTAAATCCCAATATGAAATCAAGATCCTCATATGGAAGGTACCATTTTCAATATATTGTATGGATCATGTGCTCATATACTCTTTCGATCCTAAAAGTAGGACCTTGATAACTAATTTATAAAGACTGAAAAAGAAAATAGTTTAGTTAGTTATCTGTTAGAAATGTGTTAGTTTCTTAAAATACCATTTAATTAATCATTTGTATTAGAAACTATCTCTAACGAAAATCCCCTTAGGAGACTTTTGGAGATAGTGAATTGGAGTATTATATCCTTAAGATCAAATCCATGTTAGCTTCTACGTTTAAAATCGGAGGAGTATATAGCTTGTGAATAGTATAACTTGTTAATGATTTGATGCTGACAATAAAAAGGATAAACTCAATGGAGACTGGTGGATGCAATATGGAGCGGACAAAGTTATGGGATATTGGCCTTCATCCATATTCACACACCTCTCTGATGGTGCATCATTGATGGAGTGGAGAGGTGAAATAATAAACTCAGAATATAATGGACAACACACAAGAACACAAATGGGAAGTGGGCATTTTCCTAGAGAAGGATATAGCAAAGCAAGCTATTTCAACAACATCAAAATTGTTAATCACAAAAATCAATTGGTGCGTCCTACTAACGTTATGCCTTACTCTGATAATTCCAACTGTTATTCTATCCAAACCGGCTCTTCTCGTCGATGGGGCACTTTCTTCTATTATGGGGGTCCTGGCAGAAACCCTAGTTGCCCTTGATGTTGTATAGTAGTTATAAGGTTTTATTAGAATTTCTATCAAATATTTGATATTTTTCTCGGTCTTCTTGGTTGGTCTCAGATGCTTCGTACATTGTGGATGAGAATATAATACAGCATTAATATATAGGTGAATGTGTATTATTGATTATGTTATTTGTATTTTAAGGCTTAACATGCTTGCATGTCTTGCCATCGCAGATTTTAATAAAATTCTTCCATCTATTAGAATATAATGAATTGTTTAAAGAAAAAGGAAAAATTGAAGTTGAAAAAAAAAAATCACCTTGTCGATTAAAAAAAAAAAGGCAATTTGAAAAAGGTCAATGAGAAAGGGAAAAAAATTATAAAGGCATCGGTAATTCGGGAAAATCAATGGAATGGATAAGGTTTTTTTTTTTGAAAAAAAAAGATCATGTTGTACTGCTCTCAATGATAAAATAACAGAACAAGGGAAAGATAAGATATTCTTCTCCTCTGCGATGCTTTTCAATAATGGACCCCTGGTCAAACCAAAAAATTCCCATATAGTGGATTTTTTTCCCGTTAATTGGTATATTTTCTTGGAAAAGTTTCACAAAGAGACTTGAAAATCACTAAATACTGGATGTTTGGTGCAAGTGACTGTGTAGTCAAAACTAGTTAAAGTATAGGAAACAATCTTGATTTATGATGTAGTAATTTTCAATCCGTTTTGTGAGATTTTTTTTAATTTTCTTAAGTTACCAAATCTTGTAATTATTAACTATTGGATACTATTGTTCTATATTTGTGTCAGTCAACGGTTAACAATGACCACATATCAATAAAGCTTAATCTAATTTATTCTTATGAGCAAATCTTAAAAGAGATACGGTAATAAATTATTAAATTTCATCAATATAAGCAAACCTCAGAAGGGGCTGACGTAATTTATCCTTATAATTATTTATAATTATAATATTAAAAAGTTTCCCGAAATAATACTGCATTCCTATTTTTGCAGTTAAACTCATTTTGGTAAGTAATTATGGTCGAATCATAGAGTAACTTCACATTCAAGAGACTAGCGTCCTATAAATTTCTGAACCTTCAATTCTCCAACAGCGACGTGAGCATTCTCACAGAGGAGCTATCTTAGCTTAGCTTGTTTTATATTTCCTCACCTTCAATGGCGGCAAACTCGGGAGATTATAAGACTTACTGGGTAAAGAAGTACGTCTTATTCTGCTTCATCTTGTTTTCTGTACCTATGGGGATATCAGACCAAGACAAGAATGGCGGTTCTGTTGTGAATCTTGAGATTCAGAAGCTTATGAACCAGTTGAACAGACCAGCTGTTAAGTCTATCAAGGTATACATACAAGTCATTTTTTTTAAATGAATTTTCAGTTTGACAAATAACAGCTCTCTGCCATTCTATATTTTATCATTGATTGGGCTAATCATTGGTGTTTCAAAATCAGAGCCCTGATGGTGATATAATCGATCGTGTTCATATTTTAAATCAGCCAGCTTTCCAGAATCCGAAGCTCGGATCACAAAATTCAGGTAGCATAGTTTGCTTCAAGTTTCTTTTTTTTTTCACCGAACCAAAATTTTCTCTCATTCACAAGCTAATTATCTCTCCTTTTATGAAGATGAGACCAGGTTTTCATCCAGAAGGAATGATGTTTGAAGAAAATGAAGTATCATCTTCAAGGCAAAAGCCAATTTCTCAGTTGTGGCACAAAAGTGGAAGTTGCCCAGAAGGAACCATTCCTATAAGAAGAATAATAGAAGAAGACATCTTAAGAGCAGAATCTATCCGAAGATTTGGGAAGAAGAACCACAAGAGCATTCCTGAGTTTACATCTTTTAAAACTGAAGCTCAACACTAGGTATATATACTGTTGCCACTGTGCGTGTATCTCTGAATTTAAACACAGCAATCTCTTGTTTTTTGTAAATACAAGTAAACTAATGTAGTTTCTTCAGTTTTATGTTTACCTACTAATGTATTTTTCTTCTGTTGTTTCTTTGATGATTTTGGAACCTCTAGTTTGCCACAGTTTATGCTACGGGAGATAAGTACATTATGGAGGCAAGGCATCCATGAACATTTGGAAACCCATAGTTGAAAAGCATAACGAATTTAGTAACTCTCAATTAGGGATACAAAATGGTAATACTAGCAAAGGTTGCGATAGCATTCAAGCTGGCTGGCAGGTATATATTCTTTAACTTCTTTCCAAAAAGATTATATCCAAATATATTACATATCATCAACCAAGAAACTTCTCATTTCTGATGTGCTCACCTGAGTTTCTTTCTCCCTCTCTCTGTTTTTTGGTTTTTTAATTTGGAAAATTAGGTGAATCCGCAGCTATATGGAGATAATAACACCAGACTTTTTACATTTTGGACAGTGAGTTCAGCTTTGTTACTTCACAACCCAGGTTGTAGTTTCATCAAACCATTCTCTTGGTTATTATCATTATATAACTAATTTACTGATTTTCTGTGACAAAATGACAGGCAGATTCAGGTCAAAGTACGGGATGTTTTGATATGCTTTGCTCTGGCTTTGTTCAACTTAACAATGGAGTAGGTGTAGGAGCCTCCATCCAACCGTTGTCTGTCTATGGCGACCTTAAATCCCAATTTGATATAACCATCCTTATTTGGAAGGTACCCAACTCTTCATATCAAATTACACCAATATCATCATTCTCATTGAAATATAGCATGTTTGTTTCCTCATATTAGATGAATAATTGAATTTGATATATGTGTTCCATCTGATATATATTTAGGATCCAATCAATAGAGATTGGTGGATGCAATATGGGAGAGATACAGTAGTGGGATATTGGCTGTCGACTTTGTTTGACTTAGCATCAACGATACTGTGGGGAGGTGAAGTGTTAAACTTAGCATCTGAAGATGGGAAACACAGCATAACACAAATGGGAAGTGGACACTTTGCTGGGGAAGCTCAAGGGAGAGCAAGTTATTTCAAGAACATTACAATTGTGAATGGCAAAAACCAATATGTGCCTCCTCCTAATGGTGTTGCCACTTACTCTGACCATGTCAATTGCTACAATGTGAAAATGGCATCTTCTGATGATGAACTTGGAGCCTACTTCTATTTTGGTGGTCCAGGAAGAAATCCTGATTGCCCTTGAGAGAGGCACAGAGACAGAGACAGAGAGACTTATTATACAGATATTCATATTGCTAGTTTTCTTTTTTCCTAATCATGATTTTTGTACAAATAAGAAGGCGACTTTAATTCTTTATTGTTACCTTAGTTATATCAGATGTTCCTTTCTTATGTATTGGTCCCTTAATTATATCAATTGCTTTTGATTATGTTGAGTTCTTTGAATTAACCTAGTAACTACGAAGTGCTTGTGGAGTGAGAAAAAGGTGAGACAAAACAAGTGCATTAAAAGGCATAACGTTTCCTTTTGAATGAAATTAAAAGGCATAACTTATGGGCTGTAATGGCAATGATGTGCAACAACTTATTTCTCAAATGATCTCCTCCTTCTCATTGAAATTTTTGGGTGAATTATCTCTTTTTCTTGGGCATTGAGTTTCATCGCACATAGGGTGGTTTTCATCTTTCCTAGAGGAAATATGTCACAAAGTTGCTCAATAAAATGCATAAGCTTATGGCTGTATACAGGTGTGTTGTAGATTCTGTTTCAAATGTTCTTTGGCTTGTGGTTGCGTTAAAAGCTTACTTGAGGCATTGGTTATTAGTAAAGAACTAAACTAAAAAAGCTTCCAAGAATAACAAGTTACTTTTCCGCCCTTTTGCTTTTGACATATCCGATCAGCTTTCAAGACGAAAGATCATGGGCAATCAGGGTTTCTCCTAGCACCACCACAAAAGTACTTGCCCCAATTATTAAAAGTACCAAGTTGGACATTGTAGCAGTTAGATTGGTCAGTGTAAGTGTGAATGTCATTGGGAGGGATGGCTTGATTATTGCCATTAATAATTCTAATTTCCTTGAAAAAGCTAGCTTTCCTAAAACCACCTTCTTGAAAACGGCCACTTCCTATTTGTGTTGTGGTGTGTTGTCCATTAGATTCTGAGTTCACAACTTCACCTCCCCACATTATCTTTGTTGCACTCTCAGAGAGGCGAGAGAACACACAGGCTGGCCAGCATCCCACATATGTATCATTCCCATAAGACATCCACCAATCTCCTTTCTTCGGATCCTGCTCGTCATCAAAACATAAATTGATCAAATCAATAATGTTTTACTAAAGTGAACAAATCAGTGTCTGAATTAGATGTTTGTCTCACTAAATGGAAACTCACGTATGTCCCTCCCATGAATGGGAATATAGATTCTTTCTAGGTGGAATTGGTGTTCAGGTATAGAGAAAAAAAGAGAGAGGTTTAGTAGGCCCCACATGTTGTGAGGCCCACCAAAACTTCTATCTCTTTCTTCTTCTCTTGTGCCTTCTATTATGAACAACCAGAACCCAACCACGGATGGGCCAACAATGGTAGGATCAGGTACTGGGGACTCAGTCCAAGTCCAACCAAGGCGTAGCATGTGGGTGAGAAAGAGCACATGGAAATTGCGTGAGCTGGAGGCCAGTACAGTAGCATAAAAACTATGTCAGGACGTGAGGGAGGGGTGTGCATGATTTGGAGAATCTTCTCTCTGGCGTCTTCTCTCTCTCTGGACGGGTCTTCTGTATTTCCCTTCTTTGTTATCTTTTCTGTTACGTTGAGTGCTTGGCTGTATTCGATACACTCTGGCAGTTTGAATATATAAATATATCTTCGATTTGCATTTGCATCAGTTAACTATTTAGGTCATTCCATTTTCTGGCGCTCTTGTTGAGAGACCTCGGAAGAGTACGGAATGATCGATAACACACGTCTGAAAGACCTGCAAAACGATATGAAAAGAATGAATGACTTTGCAGAGGGCGCCAAGGGGTGACTCGACCAAATCGATAAACATTTTGATCAGACGAACGTGTGATTTGATCATATAAAGGGGTGCTTCAACTAGTTAGAGACAATGCTACAATCGGTAGTCTGGGCTATGGCCGGAATATCATCATGTCTTAAGGCAGTTCTAGAGGTCTCTTTCTTCGGGACGTCAGAATAGGTTGTACACCACAACACTCCGTTTTCACAAGATGTTGAAGTTAGATTTTCCTCGGTTCGATAGCCAAGATGCTCTTGACTGGCAATATAGAGCAGAACAATACTTTAAATATCTTGGTGTGTCAAACCCACAATGACTCGTGATTGCTTCTGTACACATGGATGGTGACGTCTTACTGTGGTTCCAAATGTTGGAAAAAGCTGGACGAATACCAAATTGGGTAGCCCTGGCAAAAGCAATCGAACTTTAGTATGGCCCATCGAAGTTTAACTGTGCTCAATCGTAATTATTTAAACTCACCCAAGGAGGGGTTGATGGAGCCTTGGAGGTGTATAACTCCAAGTTTATGACCCTCACAAATAGAACAGAGAACTTACCAAAGGCAGTGTTGCTCGACTGTTATTTGGGAGGGTTAAATCCAGATCTGAAGAGGAACGTATTGGTTCAGCAACCCACAAATGTTTTAAGTGCCATGGCGCTATCCTGTTTATTTGCAGACGCCACTAGTTCGACTGTATCTGTCCCTGCGTCGGAATACAAGTCTCAACTTAACAGCTCATTGGGCACGACAATATCAAGGCCATAGTGCCATGTTCAGGGCCCCACACCAACACCACCACTACACAGTCTAGTAGAGGAAAAGCCAATATGCCCCCCTTATTGCTTAAACCCAACATATCGCCAGTTAAGAGGATGATAGCGACGGAAATACAGGTCAGGCGAGAAAAGGGCCTTTGCTACACATGTGATGCCAAATTCTCACTGGCTCACCAATGCCCTAACCAACAACTAATGATGCTTCTTAATGAAGATGAGGAGGACATTCCTTTCATCAAAGAGGTAGAACCCAAAGAACCAGAGGTGACTCTACATCATTTATCTCTTCATGCCCTAAGAGGTATGTAGGGACCTACCACTATCCATTTTAATGGAGAGATTTAGGGGACTAAGGTACAGATTCTGTTAGATGGGGAAAGCTCTAACAATTTCTTACACCCCAAGATCGTTCAATGTTCAAAAATTCTAATGGAGCTCACGCCTAAGGTCAAGGTTTTAGGAGGGACCAGGTGTATACTGACTAGCTTGGAACTAGTGAACGACACCCCTATTTAGATTAATAGGCACACCTTGCACATGTCCTGTTTCGTTCTACTTGTGGCTGGGGTGGATATGGTGATTAGCACCGATTGGTTAGAGACCCTTGGACCACACGTGGCGAACTACAGCACGTCCACTATCAAATTCTTACTAGGCAACCAATTCATAATGTTAAAGGGATACAGAAGGCCATCCGCGAGTCAAGCTCAATGCCACCATCTAATACAATTGACTAAGACAGCAGCCATCACGAAGTTATATATGCTACAACCAATACTGGAAGAACCCCTTACTAAAATGATACCAGATGATATGAAAGAAGTGATAGGGAAATACGGCAACGTATTACAGCACCTCACGACCTACCACCGGCGCGGGGCCACGAACAAGGCATTGACCTCCTCCCTGGAACAGGTCCTGTAAAAGTGCGACCATACCGTTATCCGGTGAGTCAGAAAGATAAGATTGAGAAGATGGTTGATGAATTATTGGCAAAAGGATTGATTCAGCCAAACGTCAGTCTGTTTTCGGCTCTGGTCATACTGGTAAAAAAGAAAGACGGCACATGGCGCTTTTGTGTGGACTACCATGCTTTAAGCTCAGTCACAGTGAAGGATGCTTTTCCTATGCCTACTGTCGATGAACTATTGGATGAACTTCATGGATCAATTTTTTACTCCAAACTTGATCTATGATCGGGGTATCACGAAATTCTAATGAAGGCAGCAGATAGGGAGAAAACGGTGTTTAGAACGCATCTCGGGCACTATGAATGGCTAGTAATGCCCTTCGGTTTGACCAATGCACCGGCCACCTTCCAAGCATTGATAAATATGATATTCTGCCCATTTCTCTGATGATTTGTTCTAATATTCTTTGATGATATACTCATTTATAGTGACTCTTGGGAAGCGCATCTGCAGCATGTGGAGTTAGTCTTGTAGTCTTTGGCTTGAAATAGGTTGGTAGCTAAACTGAGCAAGTGTTCCTTCAATCGTCGACGGATAGAATATTTGGGGCATATTATCTCTCAGGCAGGGGTTGAGATGGATAGGTCGAAGATCATAGCGGTACAAAATTGGCCTCCTCCGACAAACATATGACAACTCTGGGGGTTCTTGGGTCTCAGCAAGTATTACCGCAAGTTTGTTCAACATTATGCTAAGATTGCAGGCCCATTAACTGATTTGTTGAAGATAGATGATTCGCCTGGTCCAGTGAGGCCCAAAGAGCATTTGATAACCCAAAGCACGCCCTCACCACCGCTCTTGTGCTGGCACTACTAAATTTTGCAAAAACATTTGTGCTGGAAACTAATGCGTCAGGTGCTGGAATTGGGACAGTATGAGGGTCACCCAATAGTCTTCTTTTCCAAGAAATTGTCACTTTGGATGCAGAAGCAATCGACTTATGTCAAAGAATTATATGCGATAACAAAGGCAGTGGCCAAATTATGTCATTGTTTGTTTGGTCGACACTTCATCATTTGCACAGATCATGCGAGCTTGAAACATCTCACAGAGCAAACAATTCAAACCCCTGAACAGGAACTCAATCTAACAAAGTTATTAGGCTATCGATTTAGTATTGAATATAAACATGGATGTTCAAACCAAGCTGCAGATGCCCTGTCTTGTCAAATTTGCTTTGCTATCTCGCAATTGGAATATACATTCTTAGACTCCATTTATAGCCAACTGCTGAATTCGACGTGGTTGACAGATATAAAGACGCGCATTTCATAGCAGCCCTAAGCTTTACCCCACTATCATTTGAAACAGCACGAGTTATACTGGAAGAATCATCTGGTAATTCCTCCTAATCTGCCCAATGTTGTCACTTAGATCTTGCAAGAGTTTCATTCTTCCAAAGTGGGGGGGCATGCAGAATTCTTACGCACATTTCACCGTATCGCTTCTCTGTTCTTCTGGCCCTATATGCAGAAAGATATTAAATTGTTCATTAAGTACTGCTATGTGCGTCAACAGGCTAAGACTTCACAATTACATCTAGCCGGGTTGCTCAATCCGTTACCAATCCCGAGCAATATATGGGAGGACATCACCATGGATTTTGTAACTGGTTTACCAATGGTGCGTGGATACTTTGTAATTTTTATGGTCATCAATCGACTCTTGAAATATGCCCATTTCATACCATTGTCTGCGAATTATTCTAGTCAGGCTGTGGTAGAGAGTTTTCTTGTTAATGTTGTAAAACTTCATGGCATTCCGTGCTCTATTGTCTTGGATCGAGATCGTTCTTTTACGACAGCATGTTGGAGACACTTAATGAAATTGCAAGGCACTCGGTTAAACATGAGTTCAGCGTATCACCCATAGACCAATGGGCAATCAGAGGTTCTAAACAAATGCTTGGAGATGAATCTATGATGCTTTGTATATGATTATCCACGGCATTGGTTGGCTTACCTATCCTAGGCTGAATTTTGGTACAACACATCCTTCCATACTGCAATCGGAATGGCACCTTTTAAGGTGGTTTATAGTTGGGATCCTCCCCCTTTATTGCACCATGCATCGGTTGAGGATACCCCGTATGATGTCTACCATCAACTCGAGCAGCGTGATGAACTGTTACGTGTTCTCAAGGTGAATTTACAAAAGGCACAAGCTCAAATGAAGTGTTTCACAGATAAAAAAAGACGAGAGGTTGAATTTTCTGTCGATGATTAGGTCCTGGTCAAACTCCAACCATATCGCCAACACTCTATTCAACTGAGAAAGTTTCAGAAGCTAGCTTTGCAATTCTTTAGACCTTTCCAAGTAGGAGAACATATCGGTAAGGTCGCTTATCGATTGCATCTACCACCCCACTCGCGAATCCAGCCAGTGTTTCACGTTTCCCTCCTGAAAAGGTTCGAAGGTACTGTTAATCAAGGATTGTATCTGCCTTTGCCACTAGCTTCGGTTCCTGAAGGGCCCATTAGCCAACCACTGGACGTCCTACAGTTGTGATCTGTTAAACACCATGGTCAATGGACTACACAATATTTGGTCCAATGGGATTGTTCCACATCACCTTCGTGGGAATGGAGTCATGATCTGCACTAGATGTATCCACACCTGAACCTTACAGACAAGGCTCGTTTCAAAGAGGGGGTAATGTTATGAACAACCAGAACCCAACCACATATGAGCCAGTAATGGCAGGATCAGGTACTGGGGACTCAGCCCAAGTCCAACCAAGGTGTAGTATGCGGGTGAGAAAGAGCACATGGAAATTGCGTGAGCTGGAGGCCGGTACATCAGCATAAAAACTGTGTCAGGACGTGAGGGAGGGGTGTGCATGATTTGGAGAATCTTCTCTCTGGCATCTTCTCTCTCTCTAGATGGGTCTTCTGTATTTCCTTGCTTTGTTATCTTTTCTGTTATGTTGAGTGCTTGGTTGTATTCGATACACTCTGGCGATTTGAATATATAAATATATCTTCAATTTGCATTCGCATCAGTTAACTGTTTAGGTCATTCCACCTTCCTCGCATTGAGAGATCCAGATATATAAGTATGATAGGAAATCTAAACATTTTGTGGAATCTATTTCTTAGAAAGTGTATTTGTATCTGCAGATCTGTCTGGGCAAAAAGTTGGTGCCTTCTAGATAAGAATGGTGATTTCATATTGGGAATTAGTATCACCAAAGACATAGAATGGTTCTATGGTGTCTCCCAGGGCTATTTCATTGTTAACTTGAATAAAGCTAGAACAAAGAAGATCATAGCATCCAGTGTGTTTATCTGCATCAGCCTAAGTCAAGTGTAAAATGAAATGGTGAAATTAACAATATTGAAGATTATGATTTAAAGAAACTACAATTTCAAGTTTAACTTACTGTCCAAAATGTGAAAAGCCTTGTGTTATTATCTCCATACAGATCTGGATTCACCTGATTTTCCAAATCAATAAAAAAAAGAGTATATCGCAGGTAAGCACATGAGAAATTAAAACTTAGTTTAGTATTATATTTTCTGAAATAAGTTTAGTAAGTGTTTTTTTTGGGGAAAAAATAATCATTTACTTCCTATAATGTTGACTCAATTATCATTTGATTCTTGAAATTTACACGCAGGTAAGCACATGAATGCCATCGTAATTACTGGTATCACCATTTTGAACCCACACTTTAGAGTTACTAAATTTATTAAGCTCTTGAACATTGGGATTCCAAACGTTCATAGTTGCTTTGCCTCCATAGTATTTATCTCCCTGTACATACTGCCGCAAACTAGACCATACAAATTCGTCAAAGATAAAAGACAAGAAGAATATTAAATTAAATAAGTAAAAAAGAAAAAATCCAACAAAAGAGCTTTGTTCATGCATATAAACATATCAATTGACTGCCTTCTGGGTTGTATAAAGTAGCAATACTAATACCTGGCTTTGAGCTTGAGTTTGGAATGATTTAAACTTTGGGATACTCTTCTGATTTTTGTTCCCATACTGTTGGATAGGGTTTGCCCTCAATATGTCTTCTTCTCTTATCCTTCTCGCATAGGAATGGATCTTTCTGTGCAACTTCCTCTTTGCATCCATAACTGAGCAATTGTTGGCTTTGGCTTTTTTGAAGATACTACTCTACTTTCTTTGAGCATGCTTCCTTCTGGGTGAAAACTCGGTCTCATCTTCAATTAAGCAAAAAAATTAAATATTCAGCTTTAAATTTGTGAATAAGAGAGAAAGCTAGAAAATAGAAGGGTACATATTGCCTTACCTTAATTTTCTCATTTATGAGTTTGGGATCACTAAAAGCTGGCTGATTTCACGGTCAATTATATCTCCATCAGGACACTGATTTGAATAACCCAAATAATTATCAATTGGAATAAAGTTCAAAAACAACGAAAGGGACAAGTAATATGCTTTGACTCAATAGTACAAATTAAATATTGTTTTGAGTATGAAAGCAATATATTTGAATACAAATTTTAGTCAAAATTAATATTTGTAAAACCTAAACAGGTAAGAACTGGACTACCTTGATAGATTTATGAGCTGGTCTATTCAATTTCTTCAAAAGCTTATGAATCTTAAGATTTTGATGGTAATGACCATCCTTCATGTGTTGGTCTGCTATGGTCACAGATACGGAGATCAACAAGAAGCACAACAAGACATTCGGTGGCCAAGTCTTCCCACCTCTATATTTTGCCGCCATCGTTGAATATGAGGAAAATGAAACCAGAACCTCTGTGAGAATCCTCAAGTTGGTATTCAAGAATTGAAGCACAGATACGATATATATAGGGGGTAGGATATGGGGTGTGTGTGTGTGTGTGTGTGTTCATTCGTAAAACACACCAAAAACACAATTGAAATTGAAAGAATTCGAACCACCAAGGACATAATTATAGTCCATCAATAAAATTTATAAACTAGTTAACATAATTCGCCGTATAGAATATGTAAACTAATTAAAAACCTAAAAACATATAAATGTTTAAAAGCAAATAATAACAGATATTAGAGAATAAAAAATGATAACTGATATGACAATCTTTTTAGTTCTTTGAATTTGTTTCAGAACACATGCTTCTTGAAATATCAAATCCATACTGAAAATTATTTGTTTTTGTGAAAAATATAATTATTTGGATTCTTTTAATATCCGTGCGCATGTGGATATGGATTTAATTACTCTTCTAGTCTTTAGTATAACAGCTAATTAACTAATTTGAGTAAATTATGGATCTTAGTTAAATTAATTAATATTATCTGTTTTCTCTAAAACACCTTACTCATCTTCATTAATTCTCCCTCTCCCTCTCCTACTTGATTATTGTTAGAGTAATATTAATAGAGTTAATTTGGAAAAAAATTAATAAACATGTAAAATAATTCTTATATATAAGATGAACATCAACTTTCAAATTAGTTTCTATATTAAGGACAAAAGGAGTAATATTAATGACAAAATATGATAACAACAATCATTGGAGGTTTGTAATAAGGTTCATGTGCGTCGTACATACCCAGAGAATAATACGGTATTGGTCCTTCGGGCACATCGTCTTTCTTATGCACCATTTAAGTTCATTAAATTCGTTGATAACCATACAACGAATATTCGAATTCCGTCCAGAACATTTAAGTACGTGGTTTGTTTCGAAAAAATTGTATCATAATATATAGCCTTATTTTATTTTATTTTTTTTGCCAGAAACCTTTTTTTATTTTGGGCTGGGAACCTTCAAATTAACTCCTCATGAATTTACCATGAAGACTGAATTTGGTTATTATGAAAGTCCTATCATCAGGACCGGAGGAGTATTTTATAAAATTAAGGAATCAAAATAAAGCCTTATATGAAGTCAAAAGATTAAAAATAAGCTTCCGCCAAGCTTTTTTCAACTTTATAAACATTTTGATCGCAAAATTATTTGTTACTTCTTGCTATAAAAGGTTCATTAATTTGATTCCCACCAGATTCAATCACCATTCACCATGGTTCAAAATAACCAACAGAAGAGGGAAGCTTAGGACTGCAAGAAGAAGGGAACGAGCCCAACAAACAAAAAAACCAACGATCCAACTGAACAAACGGAAAAAATCAAAAACCAAAATGACGAACCTGAAACCCTTGATTCGGTTAGTTTAACGACCGGTGCCATTTTAAAAAGAATAAAAATGAAATATTATCAGTAAACCACATAGAGGCATATCTATTGTAATGTTTTTGACCAGCAAGATTATGGATATTGGTTATTAAAATATTATTATAACGTATCCTTAATTGATACTAGAGGCATTTTCGCAAACGAATTAAATCCCGTCGAATCATAAAAATAATTTCACTTTTGAATAATGGAGAACATCTCAAATCCCTGACCTTTCAAACCTTGAACATATCGATTTGAGAATTCTGACGAAGGTCCTTCAATGGCAGCAAAATCAGAAGAAGCCAAGACTAGGGTAGGTAATGTGTTATGCTTTCTTCTTGCTGTTTTCAATATCCATGACGACTGCAGACCAAGACAGGAATGGTAGTTCTAATTATCACAATCTTGAGATTCAGAAGCTTTTGAAGAAGTTGAACAGACCACCTGTTAAATCCATAAAGGTAAACGATTTTTGTAACTACTGTATTTGACTCTTATTTTATCGCAATCGTTTCTCATCATTGTCTTTGACAATGGGTGAAAGAACAAGAATTACATATGTGGTTTAATCTTATGTATTAAGCTATGGTGGATCATGTTATTGATTATAACATATTTAACTAAGTAATCATGTCCTATTTTTCTTTCTTGAATATGTATACTTAGATAATGATGAAACTTGGCATGTTTTATACATTTATTTATCATAACTGTTTGAAACAACATTTGTTATTAATTATAAAAGTCAGAGCCCCGATGGAGATATAATCGATTGTGTTCATATTTCAAACCAACCAGCTTTTACTGACCCAAAGCTCAAAAATCCAAAATTCAGGTAAAACTAAACAAACCCCATCTTTATTTTAGTTTTCTCTTTGCACACAATGTTGAAGTTAATTTATTATTTCATTCTATTGAAGATGAGACCAAGTTTTCACCCTGAAAAGAGTATGCTTGAGAAAAGTGAAGTGTCTGCAAAATTGCAACCTGTTGCTCAATTATGGAAACAGAGTGGAAGTTGCCCAGAAGAAACCATTCCCATAAGAAGAATAGGAAAGGAAGACATATTGAGGGCAAAATCTATCCAACAATTTGGAAAGAAGAATCTCAAGAACATCCCTCAACATGGATCATTTGAAACTCAATCCAAACACCAGGTAATCTGCTGCATATGCGCATCTCAAGTTTTTTCAAAATATTGAAAGCGTTAGTTTCACCCCAAAGACAAGCACCATTATATATATAGGCATATGTTTCTTCTGGATTTTTTTTTTTGGTTTACTTATTTAATATATTTTTAATGTTTCTCTGACAAATGTGGGTATCCAGTTTGCTGCAGTTTATGTAAAAGGAGATAAATATTATGGAGGCATGGCAACGATGAACGTTTGGAATCCCCGTGTTCAAGAGCACAGTGAATTTAGTGACTCTCAGATCTCAATTCTAAACGATAACATTGGTGAAGGTTATAATAGCATTCAAGCTGATTGGCAGGTATATATTCTTTAATTTATTTAAAAATTTAATTAAAAAGATATGCAAGAATAGAAATTCATCACATGAAGCAAACATTTCAAGTCATGCTGTTTTTTTTTTTCCAAATATCGAAAATCAGGTCAATCCCCGGCTGCATGGAGATAAAAACACCAGATTTTTTACATTTTGGAGAGTAAGTTCACTTTCTAGTGATTTCTTATTCAAGGCATACATTCTCTTCATTATTGTTAAATATTTCTTGATATTACTTTACGTTTGATAGGATGGTTCAGGTGAAAATGCTAGAGGGTGTTATGATCTTCTTTGCTCTGGCTTTGTTCAAGTGAACCATCAAGTAGTCGTGGGAGCTGCCATAGAGCACTTAATTATCTGCCTATGGAGATAGCAAATCCCAACATGCTATCACCATCCTTGTCTGGAAGGTATACTGAATATTTTTGTTAGGCTTTTGCGAAATCGAGTTGACTTGATTTAATTGATTTAATGTCCAAAAAAGGGGAAAATTCCGACATCACTTACAGATTTGTAACTAATTTGTGGAAAAGAACAAATATATTCGTGGAAAGACCCCATATATAAATCCTTGAGTTAAGACCGAATAGATTCATCATTCCAACATATATTTTACGATCTTTTACAAAAATTAAAAAAATTAGTTAAATTAGTTAACCCTAAAACATATATATTGATTTTTCTTAAACATTCTCTTTAATCATTTGAATTGAAATTATTTCTCCATAGAAACCCCCTTAACATGTGCATAGAATATGGATAGTTCAAGGAGAAATTATAAATTTGAGAAATAAAATAAATTAAAATATTATATCTAAAATTAGAGTAAATACTTAACTAGTTCGTATATTTAGGACAGGAAGGAGTACATCCCTATTTATATAGCAATGTCATGTATGTGTCTTGTTTTTTTTTTTTTTTGGCCAAAAGCAATGTCATGTTGTTAGCCAACGATGTATTCTGCTCTTTTGATGAAAATAAGGATTTTGAAAATGATGAGCGGGATCACAAGAATGGAAACTGATGGCTGCAATATGGGCCTGATGAAGCCATGGGATATTGGCCAGCTTCTCTATTCCCACTTCTGTCTGAGAGCGCAACAATAGTAGGATGGGGAGGTGAAGTGTTAAACTTAGGATCAAATGGCCAACACACTACAACACAAATGGGAAGTGGTCATTTTCCTCAAGAAGTTATGGTGGCAAAGCTTGCTTTTTCTGGAATATTAAGGTTGTTAATGGCAACAACCAAACTGTGCCTCCTAATAACATTCGCACTCGCGTTGACCAATCCAACTGTTACAACGTCCAAGTGGCCAATCTAATGACTGGGGCAACTACTTCTCTTTTGGTGGACCTAGACGAAACCCTAGTTGCCCATGATCACTCATCTTGAAAACTCATTTATATCAAGACGAACCAAAGATAAAGAGTTGTGATTATGAGGCTTTTTATATTGTTTGCATTTTAAATATTTAGATCTCAAAACGGATTTGTTGATAAAAGAAAACCGTTTTTCATGACTGTAATTGCTTCATTTAGACTCCTCAGTGAATAGTTAAACGGGAAAATGGTTTTTTATTATTTTTATAATTGATAGCCAAAGTGACCAAAATCAGATGAAACAAGCTTATGTATATTTAGGATGTAACATTTTCTCACATTTCTTTAATTTGGGTGTCATAAGTGTATTTTGTATATCTTGTTCAGTTGATCAAGGAAACCTGTGATATAGTACAAATTTTTATATAATTTTGTTTACTTTTTTTAGAAAAATAAGCACAAGCATGTTGTTGAAGACAATTATATTTAAGACATTGTCGAACACTACATGTAAACACTCATATCTCATAGTAGGAAATTAAACTTTAGTTAATCATATTATGAGATATTAATCCCTCCTATTAGACTTCAACCTTCATTTATAAATTTTTTTAAGTTTGATCGTGTTGTATTATGTATAAATTTAGAAACTTCTTTGACTAAAACTGCCAAGCCATGTGCCGACCAAAATATGAAAAAACGGAGGAAAGAAACCATGTAAGTTCCAACTTTTCATTGTTATTTTTTTTCATCTGTAGTATAGGTATCTCTACATAGAGTGATAACCTTCTACATATGTGGCTTCCAAGTCTCAGCTTCTCAATATATTGCATTGCACAGGTCGGCTCTGACCAATCCTGCAAAAGATATACATGTAAATTCAAAGATGTCAGAAAATTTGTTACCATACCTTAAAAGGTTGACCCATATATCTGTGTTACTCCTCCGGTCCTTAATATAAGACTCATTTAACTAATTTGATTAAATTAAGAAAGTAAGGTAAGTTAGTTAATTATAAGAAATGTGACACATTTTTCCTAAAACATCATAATCATCTTTCTTAATACCCTTCTCCCTCTTTTACTTGATTATAGTTGAAGGAGTATCCATAAAGATAATTTAGAAAAAATTAATAAATATAAGAAATGGGTCTTATATTTAGGATCAAAACGAACTCAATAATTGGGTCCTATATTAAGGACCGGAGGAGTACAAATTACATCAAATGGTATGACTTCTTTTTCAGATTTTATGTAGTATGTACACATGAAAATGTAAATATGTCTAACTTTTTCCAGAATGTATCGTAAATATATCAAATTATATTTTTTGACATAATTGAATGAATTGAACTTGAATCAACATACAGAATTGCGTCATCAATTATCTTCTTCGGTTGAAATTTTATATTTGACTTAACTCATTAGCTGGCGTTTATAAATCAATCTTTTAAATTAAATTTAAAATTTCTCACAAACACAAACCTATATTTAAGCAATACTTGGCAAGTGACGTGAAGGAAAAGGAAAGAAATGAAACAAATCAAACTAAGAAGTGAGTAATTAAAACCTACTTGTTGCAGTTTCAAGTCGGGAGAAATCTCAAAGGGCAAAGAGATGCCACAGTTTATCAGGAATATCGTGTGCGTTTTGAGCATTAATTGGCATGGTTTGAGCAGCAGCCTCGATGCATTCACAGGCAGTCTTCCTATCTTCCTCGGCGTCGCCGCTGCCGATACCAGAGCTTTGGCTCCGTCACAATACGCCGGCAGCGGCTTCGCTCCACTGGGCCTGGTCAAGTACTCTCGTGGCATGGCTTCAGATACCCAGTCGCTTGGTCACATGTAATTGCAGCTTCGCAAGAAGATGATGAAGCAGCTAGCAGCAGAACCAGAAAACCACACACACAAAAAGATTCATGGTTTTAATAACAGAAGAAAGAAGACGATGATTTCTTTGAATCGTTTTTTCTACGTAGTGGAGGGATTTATATATAGCTGGACAGAGAAAGAAACAATCAAAGAAGAGTCTCAAGCGAGAAGTAATGGAGTTTTGGGAATGATAGGCGCCCGTTGGGAGAGTGATATATCCTCATCATCTTCTTCAGCATTATTGTCTGTATTGCCTTGCTTGCCACACACTAAAAGAAACCATAAAGAAATTTGGATATGAGGAGGTGTAGGCAGTGATATATGGATACTAGTGATTCAAGCTTTAATGGGGACTTGCGTGGCAGTGACCTCTGAAAACATACAGATTTAGTGAATTAAATGGACCAACTTACTGTGGGTTATGGATTGAACAAGTTGACTCATTCATTCAGTTCGCCCGTTGTTGAAAATTAGGACCCGATTCACCAGTACTTGAGTTCTAGATCTGTTTTCTTAGCTATAAAAAATCATCAATTTTCAGGCTCGAATTCAATGGATATTTTATAGCTCTAACTCATGTCTGGTGGATTTTTTTTTTAATAACATAAGTATCATCTTATTAAAGGCAATTCTATTTGAAATACTGTTAGGCACTAAATGTGAGTATTTCTTTTCCATTGAAGGTTGAATCTTAATTCACTATATTGTAAAAAACTAGCCCTTTCTGCTATATCTAAACCTCATGAGTGGTGAGATGGATATTTTAGAATGCACGCAGCAATAAAAGAGTTTCATGAGTCGGATTGGGAGGCAGGCCCTTTCATCATGACTTTCTAGGCCACCAAAGCCTATATAAGATAAGACAGGTTCAATTGGATCCAGCTTCATCTTTCTCCTCTGTTTATGTTTTTCCGTTTGAGTCTTTGATAAATCTCTTTTTATTATCAAGGGAAAGGCATGATTGAACCTGTGAGTGTGACTTCTCATTTTAAAAAAAAAAAACCTAGGAGAGTAAATCTATAATATTATTTTAAATAATATGATTTCAAAGGTTTATATGAATCATATCTACAGTCTTTTTGGTCGGACCGGGTTATAAAATGAAGGGGAAATGACGAACGTAAATATCATGTAAACTTTACTCTTTTGTATCAGTCATTCAAAATACACAATCCCACGATCTGATCAAAACTCTTTGGCCAAACAAATTATGAGAACTCTAGTTTAGTAGACGAAACCGGCTAAACATTGGATGTCGTTGTGATGAAGTAATGCTCAGTAATATCATATGCAGTTTTTTGGAGAATCAAACATCTATAGTGGCAGAAACTAACCCCTATATATTTTGGGATTCATACTTCATTCGACACAAGTGATACAAAAAGAATACTTAAAAGAAATATCGAATCGATAATGACACAGACACCACCATCTCCAACATCTAAACAGAGTATTTGTCCTCACACAAAAACATCGCTTAGAATAATTCTTGAAAGAACATAACAATGTTAAAACAAGTATAACTGACTGACAACATCCATCATTCTCTAGAGGAATGAATTAGCGAGAGATGTGTAGATTACCCATTGGCTGGGCAAGGAAGCAACAAATATCAAAATAAGTTTTTGAATCTGTGAATTATAGTGACACCAATTTCAGTGAGTTTTTATCTGTCCATCATGCATAGTAAACACATGCCAGGGTTTCTACCACACCACAAGGGCTGTATTGGCTCAGCCCCTATACCTCTTCTTTACCATTCTGTATCTCCACTCATTCAATCTATCTGTGGCCTCTGCATATCTCCTCATGCCCTTCTCATCTCTGTTGCCGGACCACAACGACTCAGCCATCGCTGATGTTCTCGGCCAAACTCTAGAATCCAAAGCAGTTTGATCTGCTTGTTCAGACCACAATGCCACTTCCCCGCCAAGAACCAGCTTTGCCTCATCTTCACTTAAACCATACGTGATATCATAGTTATAGATAAGTTGCCAGGTCTTGAAGGGTCCACACCAGGACCCTCCATGCCCTTGATCTCCACTCTGAGTAACATACCGGGAATCATTCCCAACAAAATCCCCATGTCCACAGTCCAGATAATAGAAATCCGCTAAAGAAACAATTGTTCGGTATCCAGAAGAAACAAGGGCGCTTCGTGTTGTCGTGTCCGGTTGTTCCATGTCTGTAGAATCACATTTCTTTAGGAGCATTGTGGATGGAACATGAACCTGTTCGGATAGAAAACATCTTCCCAATAGACACAGTTCGGTTAAGGGATACGATATAAGGGAGAGTACAATTGAT